TATATAACAAATATTTCTACATGTAAAATGACACACGTTCTGTTATGAAATAGCCTAGGGTATTTGTGTGTTACTGACCGGTCAACGCAGGATTATAGACCTCCTTGTGTCAAACAGGCATCATTCATTCTGAATACTTCTGATGTTATGCAGGTTTGCATAAATAAACTCTACAGAAGTTTCAAACATATCAGAGTCATCCGTTCCGTCGAATAGGCTATTCCTCACCCGCGCATGTCTGAGTGTTTTGTTTTGATTGAGGTTTTGCGTTTTTACATTAAAATGAAAACAGTTTTTACCTACAGAAAATGAAGTTTGTCTGAGATGTATGTCTGGGGGAACTCACCGATGATAGTGAACATAAATGTCATCTTTTTCTGTTTCACAGGATTTTGACAAGGCGCAGCGGCTCCGTTGAGTAGGTACCTAGGACATCCCCACGGCGGCCAGGGCGCTTTCAGCGGACACTGGGGGAAAGAAGGACTAATATACCAAAGATGAACACAATTGTGTTTAATAAGTTAAGCAGCCAGGTTTTATTCGAGGAGAAGGCGAATGAGGTGGAAAGAAGCAGTCGAAATTATTTAGAGGTGATAGATGGACAGCATCCAGACCTGCTCGCCAGCAGCCCAGTCATCAAAGACAACTCAGTTATCCGGCACAGGAGATCCGGGTATGTCACAAACTTCAGTGTCTTTTGTAAAATGTACTGCAGGTTCGTGGACATGTTTCCTTCTTTTAAAGAAATCCATTAACAATACTCCAAAAATGAAGCAGATGCACTGTAAAATATTTTCATCATGTTTCATTAAGTGAAATATTTGTTTCCATAAATTTCACTCGATTTTCTTCATCAGAAAACTCATTCGAAATGGTACAAAAATAGAACGTATTTATCACTGCAGACTGTCACATTAGCACCGCAAGTTTTAAAGGTTGTTTTTTTTTCACAGTGGATGATAACTGCTTTGCACATCGTTTATTTTTCATGACGGAATAATCAGTCTAATTATTCTGGTAAGATACTTAACAGAAAAAAAAGAATATAATGATAGCCTGTTTAAGTCATCTGTGGTCATTTTAACGCTGTTAATGCTTTTAACCGCGTGACAGCACGGAGAACCTTATTAAAGATAAACATCAAGTTGTTCAATCTTAGAGCCAACGGTGAAAAGCAGTGACTCGTCCAACTGTTTGACTTTTCATAGTCTTTGTGTTTTCTTTCCATAGATTTGCGCTCAGTTGTGGTTAGAGCGCATATGGTTTGAATTTACAGCCTGTTCGCCTTCTTCTTATCTAGGATACGTTGAGGTTTCAAAAAGAGAATTGCAGGAAATTAATATTCACAATTCAATTAAGTCGCTGTCGATGGTGCTGAATTAGCAGGGGCTTGTCGTTGGGGTAGGCTGCATGAGGTCATTCGTGTTCGGTAGCAAATTTAAAACACGTCCAGGCCTGTTTCTAATAAATAAACATTTCCTTCAACTGTATGTGTGGTCCAGTCAATCACGAATATTTTTGTAGTGAGGGCGCAAGAAGAAACCATGTCATCCCTTATTTGCCCTCCGAACCCAGCGCGTTCGGCCTCACCGCCCCCAAGCTGTTTACCCCAACCTGTTTTCTATTTGCAGCCAACACAGTGCTTCATTATACGACTGCGATACACAGCAACATCGAACCTAAAAGTGAAACCTGTGCAAACATCCTCCGCTGCGGGTGCGTCTGGCTCGCGCTTACTGAAGGTCCGTGTGCGCGTGTAAGCGGAGCCAATAGGATAACATTAAAGCCGCGCTGCTCGCCTCAAGGGGAATATCACTGCTAATGAAAATTATTAATATAAATACAGTGGTGTGTGTCGCCGATATCGAGAACAGGGAGGGAAAAAAACTTCTTTAGGTTGTTAATATAGTTCTGGGTTACAAGGAAAATATTTGCTGAACATGAACCTCGCTGCGTTGGGGAAAATATATAAATGTGCAGTCAGGTTTTTGGAAGATAACAAGGTGATATAACAGCGCCATACTGACATCTACAGGTTTAAATAACCAGATTCTGTTCTCTCTTGAAAATAAAGGTTCCAATTAGAAGAAAAACTGACTTACGGGCCGATGCTTACAGGAGAGCATTTGAAAGTTTTACAAAGAACTTTTTCTCTCTCTCTCTGGAGAACGCCTACTGAAACCAATGCGTTGATCTGAAGAACCTGTATTGGATTCCTGATGAAAGAGGAACCATTAAAGAACCTTTATTTTAAAAAGTGTGATACTTAACATGAATTGAGAATAAAAGTGACTGTCAGAATTTGTATACATTTTGTTGTGCAAATCTGCAGATTTTTATTTTTTTTCCAAACGATTCCAGTCCCTAGAGGAATACATAGCACATGTGTCATTGTGCAGATGTTGGATTACATGGAGCTATTTCAGTGCACCGTTATTGTTTTTTGCAGCCTGACTGTGAACTGATTTTGAATGAAAAACCCTCACTGGGAGAGTTAATTATAGCATGATGCTGGTTTTACAGGGCATGAGTGTTAATTAGGCTCTCATGTAAGAATATTTAACCCTTACAGAATCTCTTAAAATTGAAGATGTTTTCTTTTAAACATTGCTTGTATTTTTAATTTCGATTTTCAACAAAAAGTTCTAAACGTTTACCTCGAGGTCATTGGTCTGCTCATTGAATGTCACATTTAGATGAAGGTGGTTGTTATTTCATATTTATAATCTAAATAATAATAATAATAAACATTTAATTTATTCGGTTAATTCTTAAATATATTTACAATATATTTTGTAGCAATAACATTTCTTAGCAATAAAACAGAAGGCAGCAAGAATGCCCCCAAAGAATTAAAAATACTTTTCTCACTGTGGAAAATATGAAATAAATCAATCCTATGGAATTTCTCCACATGAGTGCCCATTCTGAAGTCTTGTGTAATTGTCATGAGATTTATGTGGCTTATGTCGGCTTGTTTTTCTCCGCAGGTCTCGTCAGAACCCAGGAAAGGTACGGCATAAACGGCAAGCTCTGCAAGACATGGCCAGGCCTTTGAAACAGTGGCTCTACAAACACCGGGACAATCCGTACCCCACTAAAACAGAGAAAATCCTTCTTGCGCTTGGCTCACAAATGACACTTGTGCAGGTGAGTAAGTTCATTTTCCACAACTTTTCCATACACGTGCTACCAAGAGCTACTAGTTCTTGACAGAAGGATTATTAAAATGACAGTTTTCTTTTACACTGGGATGAAAATGCAGGTGTTCATTCCAAACACAAGTTGCAACCAACTCAGATTTACTCTAGTGAAGGTTTTCTTTTTTTATTGTTTAACCAATAAATATATATAAAAATTCAGAGACATTCTTGCCTGTGTTTAACTCTTCACATATGTGTTTTCCAGTCTGTGTTGAGTGTCAGTTTGTGTGTACATATCTGTCTCAGTCTGTGTCTCTGTATATACATGAAGACATAAACATGTTCTCTAAATTTGTTAAGAATTGGCCCAGCCTGAAGATGCTTTTCTGGATGACCCTACAAATTTAATCTGGTTCTAATATTCATGAAAAGGACCCATTTGTTAAAAAATGTGAGCAGACAGCACTGCAATATGGGAAAAAAATACTTACAAACCCAAAACTTATGCTCAATTTCAGTGAATAAATAATCTTACGTGACTGAACACATCTTGAACATCTCTAGACTTTAGAATACACCTGAACTTTTCTCATTGCTAGTACTTTGCTACCACGTCCTATGATACTCAATGCTTCCTTCAAAAACTGGCCTCCGTTGACCAGCTTAAAGTGAAAAATATGGCTTTTGCTCTTTGAGAACTTTATATAAAGCAGAGGTCAGGAAACCCAGAGCTTGAATAACATTTTTAAAGCACAATGCCTGTCATAAGTGGCTTGAAGTGTATCGGGCATGAAAAGTTTTCCTAGTATAACATCTAATGGTCTCTGTGAAATGGAGAAGACTGGGTTAAATATTGTTTTTATTGCAAAAAGACAGACGTTGGGCAGAAGAAAAGGAATATTATTAGGTGAGAGTGGCAGAGGCCAGAATAAGCACCCAGGTCGTCATCGTCTCAGTTGAAGAAGACTTAATGTGATGTTACATTCACAGTGTTCCTGGGATATCTGCGTGTGGCATCAGCCTGCTATTTTTAATAGTTTTCATAGTTTCCCCATAAATAAAGTAGTATATGGAGCTTTTAGTCCAAACACACACATCTATGTATGGAAGACAGAAAAACTGAATCAATAATAAACAAATCTTTTGTGTCTTTTATGACCATTCATAATTCCTTTTATTTATTGGTCATTCTTTCCTCAGTACCATTCCAACACCCTCCCTCTTTTCTCAGGTGTCTAACTGGTTTGCCAATGCTCGACGGCGGCTGAAGAACACAGTTAGGCAGCCTGATTTGAGTTGGGCCCTTAGGATCAAACTCTACAACAAATATGTCCAGGGCAACGCAGAAAGACTGAGCGTCAGCAGCGATGACTCCTGCTCTGATGGTACGACACTCGCTCATGCATGCACACAGACAATCACACGTGTAAAAACGACCGAGCCTAATTATTCTTGCAGTCCCCTGATGGAGACTTACCAAAAACACACACTCACATTCACAGAAGTGCCAAGGTTGACTGTAATGCTGAAACCAAGGATGTCGAGGACTAAATGTAAAGTTTAACCATCTGTCACTGAAAAACTCATATTGTTTAACCACTAATTGGTTGGCCACAATGTTTGTGGTGATGAAATGCACACTTAAAGGGATAGTTCACCCAAAAATAAAACTCCTGTCATGATTTATGCACCGTCATGTTATTCCAGTCCATTATGATTTTCTTTCTTCTATCGAACACCAAAGATGATCTTTTAAAATATGTCTGTGTTTTTTGTCCATATAATAAAAGTCATTGGGGTCTAATGTTGGTTTGGACCTAATAAAAACATACAGTTGCACCATTCTTCAAAATATCTTTGTGTTCCACAGAAGAAAGGGTGATTAAGGTCATTGAGGGTGATTTAATGATTGCATAATTTTCATTTTTGGGTGAACTATTTTACCAATGTAAAGTTTAACAATCGGTCATATTGATCAAGCACCAGTAAGAAAATTGGGGGGAATGTTTTATGTTTGTGGTTGTTATGGTCCAGGATGAAACACACACACACACACACACATACACCTAAAGGAATAGTTCACGCAAAAATTTACTCACCTGTATGACTTTCTTTCTTCTGTCAAACACAAAAAAAATCTTGTAAAAACTGTTTTTTTGTTTGTTTTGGTCCATACAATGAAAGTCAATGGGGTCCAATACTGTTTCATTGTATGGACACAAACCGTTACAATGTTCTTTCTCAAGTTAGTTTTTTATTCAACAGCACTTGAGAGTTTAAGTCGATGATTATATAGGTTTACAAGACAAAAGGTGTGCTGAAAACAACAAGGACAAGTCAAGAATGCTATATGTAAACAGTAATGCTATATGATTTATTATGTTTTTATTCTGCCTTTTCTTGCCTTTTCCTTGGAATTGGATTAGTAATTAACGATCAATGCCCCTAATAGTTCTCCTTCTAGAGACATGAGGGTGAGTAAACTTATGAACTATCCCTTTAAGAAGGTGCATATCCAGACATGTACATGCACAGATATTGCAATAAACACTATTTATCACTGCTTGAGTATATACACACAGTGCAAGTAAAACTGCTCTTTAAAACAAACAAGCACAAACAAATTCACCTATCCTGGTGCTAAATTTGTGTGATATGAAGTGTTGCTGTATTTATAAGAAACTGTTTGGGGTTTTATTCTGCATGTAGCTGAAACAGACACTTAAACGCGGATGTTTTATTACAACGCAGTCAGTGCAACACTCCAAACATTTTTATAGCATCGTATAGCAGCCGAGCCATAAATCAGGGTCGGGGTATGTGGAGTACAGCGCTCGTGTGTGCATCCTCCTCTGTGTTTAAGTTAACCGGACAGACGCGTAGGCTTACAGACAGTCATGCACGCTGTGATTAACACACCACAACGGGGCGTCAGGACTCAACCACAAACACTCGCACACAATCTTGCGCTTACATGCACAAACACAAAAACATCCTAACTAACTATCTAAAGTTTTCTCTTTTCCTTCTCTCTTTCACGCTCTAATTCACACGCTAAGGCGTTTCAACTACAGGGATGTTGCTGGCTGGCTGACAGACTGCATGTTTGTTGGCCGCATCGCTCAACATAAGCATCCATACACAATGAGACATTCAGTCAGAACACTTATCATCCCCCTGTGCTTAACAGTGACCTCCAAACACACACTCTGTATTTGGTGCCTTGATTAGATGTCTTGGATGAGGACACACACGCTGTGGTTAGAAGAGGAATGCCCAGTCTGTGCCTCTCACATCTGTCTCATCCTACAAATAACTTCCTTTTTTTCTTACACTGAAAAATGGCACAGAAACTGTGTCAGCAGCCTAGCTTAACCTTTGACCTCAAATTCCCTCATTATCAAATCGAAACTTGTCATAGAATTTATGCACAGAACTTAAAATGAAAAATGATTGTGTTAACACAACTGAAAGTGTGTTGATAACTAGTTTTGTTGGTATATCGGTAAAAGTTTTGATGCGTTAAACCTTTTTTCTTTAAAAAAATCTATAGAAAATTCACTTTTTAAACATTTCCAGAGGAAAACATACATGTCTTTCGCTACATTTTTGTATTAACTCTTGATCAGAACATACATGGAGAAAAGCATAGAAAGATTATATTCTCATGGTTGAGTAAATAATACATTATTAATCTATAAAAACATTTTAAAAATCGACATTTTAAATGACAATTAAACTCATTGACCCTCAGTATGCAATGTTGTACTGCTTTTTGTATATATAAAGAAATGAGGGGAGAACTGTTTAGCTGTAAAAATTAAAATATGCCTTTTTTATGTTTATTTCTTCTGATGTTGGGGTTGATTCTGTGACCTGTTTTCTGTGAGATACACCCACATATTGTGAGCCGTGATTATACAACTAGAACATCATGTAACATCATACAAGTTGTTTACTATGCATATGAAATGTCTAGTTGTTTAGAGGGAACACTTTGTTGCACAAACGTTTCATCAGGTCTGAGCTCAGTAATTATGTGCTACAGAAGATCTGAGCTTCAGACACACTCTTCACATATTTGAGTCAACATTGAGCCTTGCAGTGAAATCCTAGCTCACTTAGGAGGCATTCACTCACACAATCCTAACCCCGTATCCTAGGAAATATTGCGTTTGTGTGAACTCCAGTGTGTTTACCTTTGTTTCCTACATTATGGAATGGTTGTCAAGGTAGTATACAATACGGGTGCACTAAAACAATCTTTAAAAAATGCTGACTTTTAGGATGTGGAGTGAGCAATGTGGTTCTGATACGCTGAAAACAAATCTAAAAAGTAATTTGGCTTTCTTAAATGAGCAAATCAAAACCAACAAGGAATCAACACACCTAGTTATAAATGAAATTGCTGAAGTTTAAGTCAGTGATTATATAGATTTGACTAAGGACATACATGTGATAAGGCAAAATGTGTGCTGAAGACCACAAGGACAAGTCAAGAGATGAATAGCAATGGTGGAACTGTAAGTAATAAATGGTCTAATTTTATTCTGCAACAAAAGTATTAACTTCTGTCACTTCTTGACATTAGTGACAATGTCAAATGGGAGGAAACATTTTGGACATTCCATTCTGTTGTATTACAATACAATAGTAATGCCCCTGAAAGTTTTCTTTCAAGAATGAACAAACAATGTCTCACAAATCATCCAGTAATAAAACAAGTCAGTGTCTCCTATTTATGTTATGTTGTTTAATGAATCACTGATGGGACTACAGGTGGCTGAGCACATAATAAGAGATGAGTGATTGGGTGTTTTTTACAGAATGATCAACGGAACGGAAAGATCAACTGAACACACTCTCTCCAAGGATGAGATATGACATTTACTTTTACTTTACTTTTAGTCATTTAGCAGACGCTTTTATCCAAAGCGACTTACAAATAAGAAAAAGTAATTAAAACTAAAAGCTAAAACTCTATAAATACTATATATATATACACACATTTAAGAAAATAAAAGAAATTAAATAAAAATGACAAATGCATACAACAACATTTCAAAACTAAAACATTTAAATAAAAACAAAAAAATAAAGCTAAAAACAATTAAAAAATATTAAAAGAACAAAAGGTATGAGTATAATAATGATTCTAACATAACACTAAGCCAAACACCAAAAAACAACTACATATGTGTATGTACAGCCACACACACATACATACATGTACATATATACAGTATAAATACATTAAATATATATATATATATAT